ACCTGCTGCATTACGCATGTGACCATCTTGATCACGCAGGTCTCCATTCTCATTAGTAGTGAGAATAATAGTCGCTACCATGTCTCGCCGGTAAGTATCGATCGATTTAAGATGAGGTATATCGATCGATATCGGATGAAATATTTCGGTCGACGAACGGTTGTTGATGTTGATCGATGGACATGAGTATCGGTCGACGAAGAAGGTGTCTCGGTTGACTGTGGTAAGCGAGTATCGGTCGACGAAAGGTTATTGATGTCGATCGATGTGGAACGTAAGTCTTTATGAATGCTACGTTCCAAACTGTGGGGATCTTCTGAGTACACAAATTGGCTGTTCTTGTTGCTTCTATTACTGCTGGGCATGTACATGAAAAGGACAAGAAAAAAAAAAATTTGTGTCAGAAGATGATTAAGCAGTAAAAAAAGTAACCTAGACCTAATCAGATTAAATCTAATGGCGATCTTAGTTCCCCGGCAAAGGCGCCAAATTTGATATCACTCAAATTACCCTAAGGAGTGAATTACTCTCTCAAATAAGAGGTTCAGTTGTAGTACTTAAGGATCAAATCCACAAGGAACTAAGGAACACAAAAGATATAATCCTAAGTGATTATACTAGGTTGATTAATTTTTGAATATGTGTTCACCAAGATCATAGACCGGCTCTCGTTCGTCCCTAGATGATCTCAGTTTATACCAGATGATTTCAGAATGATGATTAACAAGTTAAATCATTCCATGATCATGCTCTAGTTAGCTACTCTAGAGTAAGCATTAGGGTTCATCAGGATAATGAATATCACAACTCAACATTCCATAGTTGGGGCTAATCTCTCATAACTATTTGAACCCTAAATCTAACAAGTGAATCTACTCATACATGGCTAAGTGATTCATAGCATCAAGGTGATAATTGAAATTCATAAGATTAGAAGATTGAACACTTGGTTCTTTTGAACAACAAATTTCTTTGTGTGTTCTTCTAAATCTAGAATTCTATAACCTTTTATGAAAATGAGAATAAGATGAAAAGAATACTTTTATAAATCAAAGAACTAAGAGTATTAAGAATATAAGCTATCAAATGCACTAGAAGCACACTCAAAGCATAAAAGGTATTCAAAACATGTCTAGCCAAAACACATAGGCATAACTATAAATATGAGTTCCATTAGGTTAAAAACTCGTCAGGGGCAATCTTGTAATATTCAGAGAACTTGGGCTTCAAGTCGGCTGAGTCAAACTTGTTCTTCACGCTCGATATCGATCGATGGTACAAGGTGTACATCGATCGATGGAGTATCTCGATTCGTCATCTTCTATGGAAGCGTCATCGATCGATTACACAGAATGTGTATCGATCGATATGTATCTCTGGATATCGACCTTGTTGTCTGATCTTCATAGTCATCTCGGGAAAACTCTCCTTTAAGCTCCATAAGGGCACCTAAATCATAACTTTACTCCAAAATGCTCCTGAACCTGAAAATATACCTAATAGACTCCAAAACATATATATATTGTAAAATCATCTTAATACCATGGTTAAAAGTTGGTCAAAACCATGGTAGATCAGTTAGGAACAGAGATGATCCTTGGATTGTCGCAATGTCAATTAATCCAAGAGGACAAGTAGAAGGAAGTTTGGATAATGACCCATTAAAAGCAAGCTCTACCAGCAACGTGAGTAGTCGAAGATTTAGAAGATACTGAACTCGTGGTTGATTTGGACGGTTTGGAGATGATGATGTTGTGCATTCGGAGAATGAAGCTCAAGTTGGAGAGTTCGACGAAGATTCTGAGTAGATTTCCTTATTCATATATGTTATTGGAGTTTTACAAGTATTTGCAGTATTTAGTATAAGTTATTGGAGTTTCACAAGTGTTTGAACTGTTTAGTATAAGTTATTGGAATTTTTAAAATCTTTATGTATTTCACTTTAACGTATTCGTTACTTTTAAAAAATTTTAACATATTTCTTCAACATTTATACCAAATTGTACAAACATACTCCAACAATCTTAGATTATGATATAATTTTTTATAGTATCGAATTACTCAATATTATGATTAGTTAACACGCATTTTCATACTAACGAAGTGTTGTATTTGATCATAAACTTGATTTTCTGAAACCTCAAATACTATGTCGTCGGAATTCCGTCAGAAAATTCTGACAGAAATGTAATTCTGTCGAAAATTTCTAACAGAATTCCGACCGAATTTGTATGTCCGTCGAAAAGTTCTGACAGAATTCCGACGGAATATATCCTAAAGTAGACACATCCTCTCCTTTCCCTGTGTCGTCGGGTTGTCATTTTCGGGACCGATTTCGTCGGATGTCGTCGGAATTTTTCATTTACCCAGGTAGAATTTTAGCGAATTTTTTTGGTTAACCGCGTAATGAAATTTCCAACGAAATTCTAAGGAAACCAGTCCATCGGAATGTTTTAATTAAAAACCAGAGTCTTTTCTTCTTTTCATTCTCTCTTGATTCTCCTTTTTATCTCCGACGAAACCGGACCTCGCCTCCTCTCCCTTCAATCTCCGACGTCGTCGCCTCCTCTCCCTCCGACGAATCTGCTGTCCTCGCCTCCTCTCTATCTTGAAACCATGTGTGACCCTAAACCCTATCTCTTGAAACCATAGTTTTAACTCATAGTTTTATGATTGAACTGAATAGATTTTAGGATTGAATTGATTAGAATTTTAGATTGAACTCATAGTTTTAGGATTGAATTGATTAGAATCTTGGTTTTAGGTTGTAGATTGATGGATAATTTAGGTTTTAGATGATTATTGGTTTTTTCTGAATTTTATATTTTAAAAATATTTTATAAAACATTTAGATAGGTTTTCTATATATTTACAAACGTTTTATTCAATTTCTATTATATAAAAACATTTTTAAGAATTGTAAAACTTTTTAAAAATCTAAATAAAATTATATATGTTATAATAAACATATATATATATATATTGATTTTAATATAATCATAATTTTTTTGTTAACTAAAAATGTATTCAATTGTATGATTTTTTTTTTAATTATAAGTTGTTTATATTTATACTAGGCTAAACCCGCCCTACGGGCGGGCGTATAAATAAAGTTATTTGATAAATTAAAAGTTTATTTAACCTAAAATTAGTATTAAGAAGTTCATAATTGTTTTCTAACAATTTTATCTATGTATTTTACTATTCATTTTAGCAATTATAATGACACATTCAACATAGTGTCAATATTATCCCCAATTATGTATGTTTTTTTTTGTTTTCACACAATTTTACAGTACAGAGATTAGTTTTTATCCTATTTAATATGCATATTAATCTCAGATCTTGAAGCTTATAAGAAACAATTGAATAACTATACATGATGCGTCTTGTGCTTTAGCATGAATTTGTTAGCAGATGCTGGTTTAAATTAAAAATAGTTTTCAAATTTTTATAAATACAAATTTTGAGTTAAGTGGGATTTTATTCAAGTTGGATATTTATAACCGAGACATATTGAGAGGAATGGTCAAGGGACATTAATTGGAATCTAAATCTTGTAGATTGATCAATGATCTGTGGTGTAGCTGGATTTAGAGAGTCTGTGAGATCTCTAAAAAAAAAATTTAGTATATGTATTGACTGGTTTCTAGACATAGCATTATATCCAGCACTTTCTGAAGAGGAAAAGACATTAAATATTCAACACTTAGAAATATACTACACTACCATAACCATACTTAAATAAAACTTATATTCTTTATATATTTTTGTTTAGAAAATGACTAACCATGCATGTTTTATCTTCTCACGTCACTTTAAAAATCTTGAATTGAACCCTTGTCAATTTATGTCATAGGTGAATAAAGAGACGATAAAGTCGCACTCATTATCCAATCTGTCAATGGAGCAGCAAAAATGTTTGATGATTTTTCATTTGAATGTCCCTTCACAACAAAGTGTAATATATAGTTTAGTAAGACATTATTTGAGAGTAATCCATCTATATAGATATAGTGAAAATGTGTTTGGAAACTATATATATATATATATATATATATATCTAAAATTCTATGGTAAAAAATCTAGAGCAAAGATTCCACAGTAGTTTCATATATGATAATGTATAATCTTTCATCTGAAATTGATTGAAATTAAATCTTGCAATTGGTAAAACTCCTAATAATATGTATATACTTTTTGCTCTCGGGTTTAGTATCTTTGGTAATTGGTAAAACTCATAATAATATGTATATACCCTTTGAAATTTGTTTTACTGGTTAGAGCTCATGTGCTATGGTTCACTGTTGTTATTCTCTGTTTCATGTAATCATTTTTCTGTAAATGAAAACTCTTTTATCATAGAAAAAAATATGTGTATACATCTTCTTCAATAGATTAAATCTGATTCCGTTAAGTCTGAAATTTTTCAGGGATCTCAAATGCGGTGATATAAATAGTTTCTTCTTCTTGTTATGCTCACATCACAAATCAAATTAAAAACACCACACCGTATAACTCATGTATATATATACATAACTGAAACATTTGGATAGTAAAGAAATATATACCAGAGTTATTTGAAACATCACAACAACCCACACCACCAACAACAACTTTGTTTTAAGGCCTTTGGAATTTGGTTTCGATAAGATTCTTAGAGGTGAAGTTTCATTACGTTACAATAGAAGATGCTAGGGTCAATTTAATTCGAGAAAGTGGGCGTAGTGATGAAAAATATGTCAATGTTTAGATTATTGTCTTCAAGTGGTGATAAATGAAAACGTTACAAAGAAGACGAAGAGCACACTATTATTGAGTCTTTCATATCTTGCCACATGGCCAAAATTTTTTATTTCCTTTTTGTTGATGTGGACACCTTAAGAAGAGAATCCATTCTCCTTTATATATATATATATAGATATATCGAGTAATGTTTAAATTTTTATTTTTTCGCAGGTCCGAGCCTAGACCATCATCACTTCGCCGCGGCCTACCTCATGCAGTTCGTTCTGGGAGTACTTCCCGTATATCAGAATCTTCATATTCCTCCTCTAGCACCTTCAGAAGTGGCATCTGATCCAAACGCTCACTATGAGCCGGACACCATGCCGGTTGAGCTTTTTGTTCAACAACCAGGCCGAGAGAACCTCCGGGTTCTCCATCCCGAACCACGAGGATACACTACGTGGTAAATACGTTTCTCCATTTGTTATTAATATATTTAAATATTTTTTTATTTAAATTTTAACTTAATATTTGTTTTTTTAAGGTTCAACAAGTCGAACAATGACATTAGCAGATGCATTAACCAAATGATGTATTCTATGCTTCGTAGAGGATACGAGACCTACAGTGTGATGCCGAGAGATGAACAAGAGATATGGTTCCGTAATTTTACGGTAATTTTTAAATTTTGTTAATTTTTTTATTTATTTTTATTATAAATTTACTAATTTATCCTTTTTTTTCAGCAACAATTCAATTGGGAGTCGGGACATACCGAAAGGGTCCAACATGCCTTCAAAGAGAAGGTCATGGAGTCTTACACAAACACGGTCTATGAATGGAAGGTGCTCTAGCGCAAAGGCAAGAAACCATCAACGATACCGTTTGGCAAGACTTGCAGGTGCACTGGGAGAAGGATGAGACCAAAGTGAAATGGAGCAGAAACTCACGCAACCGCGGCAATGACCGTGACAGGAAAAGTCGTTATGTGCACAACCTCGGGGCTTGCTACATCTCGACTAAGGAAGATCAGCTTGTAAGTTTACATATTGGAAAGAATTATTTTTTAATATATTTATTGATTAATATTTTTAAGAATTATTCTTTTTATATATATTTTGTAGGTCGAAGCAAATGGCGGTAATCCCGTCGATATTCTCGATGTTGTAAAGGTGGCATACACGAACAAGAAGACGGGTGAAATTCAGGATACTGTAATCAGAGAGGTTGTGGAGATGGTGCAAACACAAAAAGAAGAATTTCTAGCTTCTCACCCTATCTCTGATGACGATTCCGATGCAGCAGTTTCCACCAACTTTTTTCGTTGCCGAATTAACGAAATGGTGGAACAGGTATTTTTAAAACTGTTTAATTTCATTATTATTATAATTTAGGTAATAATATTTAACTAATTTTCTTTATTTTAATAGGTGGTCCCAAGGAAGAAAGGATGTCTGGTCGGTTTGGCTCGCCGTGTCGGTTCTTGTCCTGCTGCTTTATCTTCACAATCTCCAAGTGTTGACCCGTCAATTATGGAGGAGCTGCAAAAAAAACAAGGGTGGGCGCATTGTAGCGTTGGAGGAGCAGAACGCTAGAATACTTGCTGAATTGGCGGAACAGAAGAAGCACAATGAAGTTATAATGGACAAGATGAAGCGCCTTTTCCCGCATGATTTTAGTATTTTATTTTGTTTAAAAACTTCAAAATGCTGTTTTCGGTTATGTAAAACTTTATTTATAATATGTTCTTTTCATTTCAGTTTTTTTGAATTTATAAAAACTAATTTATAAAATATAAAATTTCTTACAAAATAAAATATATATTAAAACTTTTAAAAATAATTAAAAAAAAAGAAATAACCGTCGGCCAAAGCCCGTCGGAAATTTCCGACGGTTAGAGTTTGTCGAAAATTTCCGACCACAATGTTCCGTCAAAAATTTATGACGAACAGTAGCCGTCGGAAATTTCCGATGAACATATGCCGTCGGAAATTTCCAATAGGCTTTGGTCGTCAGAGATTTTCGACGATCGTCGTTGTCCATCGGAATATAGTCTTACGACTTACCGACAACTTTTTCGACCAAATTCATCGTAGCTTAACCGTCGGAAAATACTTCCATCGGAAAGTCTCGGAAAATTGTCGAAATATTTTGACAAATTTCCGACAAGTTATTTCCGACGGCTGTTTTCGTCGGAATGTCGTCGGAATATCGCTATTTTGACGAAATTCCGACGAAAACGGCCGTCGGAATGCTCTGTTTTCTTGTAGTGTGCACACTCAACAAAAAGTTGGAGATTCTTTTTTTGCTAAGGATGTTAATATCATAACTGAAAGAAAATAATTCTTACAAAGTAGAAACATTTGTTGAAGCCGGTAAACCGGATTGACATCGACGATCTAGTAGAAAAAAATTAAGGAAACATATGATTCTAAAGACAATAATAGTAAAAGCTTGCAATACAATGCGGATCAGAGAGACTTGCTTGAATGCTTTCTAGACTTCCTTATTCTTTTGAAAGCAGCTTTTACTCAGATAGCTACTTCTGTAAGCTAGTAGGTTCAGTAGTCACAACTGATTACCCTGTTGTTTGGAATCTACAACGCACTAGAACACCTTTGTTGACAATCCTTTACTCCGACAGCATCTAGGGTTCCTCGAACAATGTGATATCTCACATCTAACACATGGAGTCGAGATATAATCTATTTTCTTAACTCTGAATATTCGCTCCGTAGTGAGACGAAACTGTACGAATATATAGTTTCATGATAAAACCATGGCGACGATTAACGCTTCACCCGTGAAACGCCCTAACGAACTAAGATTTACGAAACACTCTCTACACTTATGCTGGGAGTTTTTTTTTGCATTTCTGTATGTAAATAACGGTAGGAATGAAGAAAGAGGAAAGATAATTTTTAAAGAGAAGGAGAAGACCCACTTCTCACAACAACTATTGCACGTGGACGAAGATCTCGTGGAGATCGAGAGAAGTTAAGTTGCGAAACTTATTCTTCAAGACTTACGTTTTTCTCGTTTAAATATCTGAGAAAATAAACTACGTGATGTTTTTTTTATTTATTAGACAAACTACTTATCGCTTTAAATAAAATTGTAAGTTATTTTTTTTTTTAAATTTAAATGACAAAGTATTAAGCTTAACTTGATCTAAAAAAAAAAATTTTATTGAGCGATAAGCCCAGCCATCTCTTTCATAAGCCTTTGAACAAGTTTAAGTGTAGAGACATATATATATATATTACTCAATTCTCCTCTACTTCCCCGATGTGGGGCAAGTTTCTTCGTTAACACATATTATTTGGATCATCAATTAGATAAGCCCATGTCATTTGTTTTCAAACTTTGAATTAAAGCCCTTTGGGGTTTAATGGTCCGACAACACTTAGATGGAAATTGGTTCTGTGGCAAAAAAAAAGTAAAAGTAGAGAAACAATTAAGTTACAGTGGTGTGGATAGAAAACTTCAAATCTTCAATGTATCCATAATGACATGAAATGGAGAAATTTGTTTCCCCGGTTCCTTGCGTGTATCATGTTGCGGATGTCCCTAACACTTGAACAAAGTCTCTGGTGGAATATGAGTATTGCGTTTAAAGATCTGATATCTTTTTTTTTATGTCTTCTTGATAAGGAAGTGTGATCCGAGCCAATAAAACGGCTTTTTTTTTTCTCTCCATCAGATTCTATCTTTGAGCTGTGAGTTTTGTCAATCGATAGCCACATCTTATCTTTTAACAGTATTTGCTAAGGCTGATGCCACTGTAATAATTTTTGAAGCTATAAGTTTAGTTTTTAGCAAAAAATTCTTCGAAGTTTATATTATCTTTGCAAATTAAAGTATAGTAATATTTAATCAAGCTCTATTTATATTACTTTATCTAAAAATGAAATACTAATCTAACAAACAATAAAATATAGAAGAAGAAATAAACACATGTTTGAAAAACATGTATAATATAGAAAATTTGAAAAAATCTCTTTGATTAAAACACTTATTATATAATATAAAAACATTTATTATACATATCGTAAATATGTGATTATTATAATATATACCAATTTACAAGTGAAAATAAAATGTTTATATAATTAACTATAAACGAAAACAAACAACCGCGCGGTTGCGCGGGTCAAAATCTAGTTTAAATATTAACTGAGAGGAGGAAAGTTTTTCTCATTTTTTGTGGTTAAATATTATTGCCATTTGTTTTTTTATAAAATTTGATGGATGGGATTTAATATCTGTATGACTTATGCCAGTTTGAATTTTTCTCCATTTTAAGTAACCAAGATCCTAAATAGTCGCACCCCATCCGTGTATATAATCAGTCATTCGTCTCATGCATTTTAGATCCAGTCACAAAGTTAAACGAGATGGCTTTTAGAATCACCGTAAGTTCAGTTTGATCATTGTATATTCAAACTATTCGCTTTTAAATTTGTTTAGTGTTGTGAAATTGTTGACGTTTTGGTTTTGTAGAGTCAATTGCGCTCGACCGGCAAACAAATCGGCGGCTCTCGTCGCTTCGCGACCGCAGTCGCCGATGGAGCCAAACAAACATATAATAAGTAAGATTTACTGACATATGATGCCCATTTAGTTTTCATTGTATTTCGTTATCAACATTTCTACACATGATTAGTTTGCATTTTTCAGTTTCTTATTAAAAAAAACAGAATAATTGTTAAAATGTTCGATCAAGTTTTTGAACATGATGATTTTGTAATAAATCTCCTCAAAATTGTAGTTACATTCAAATATTTCGTATAACACATACAATGATAAAAATAAACGTAATTTTAACCAATGGGATTATTGTCAAAATAGGTTTTCAGTAACGGGAGAGTTTGCACCAGTGGCTATAATTGGAGGTTTTGTTGCTCTAGCGGTTGCTATGGCCGGACATAGTCTCAAGCAGCAGCTAATGCATGCTCCAGGGGTTAGTACAAGGAAGAACAGGAGAGCGGCTGTCGCGGAAGTCGATGATCCGGACAATTGTGTTTCCTCGGCGGACAAGTATATCAACAAGTCTTGGCTACGCAAAGTAGGTCAAATTCAAGATAAGTCTAGCGCCATCTTATCTGATCCCACCAGACCTAACCCATTCACCACGTATGTTCGTTCATAACTAGTTAGTTATATATGAATTTCGTTTGATGTTGATTGATTTTATTTCTAGTAATGGACTATCAACCAAAATTTTCATTTACATTTTGTTTTGTTTTTTTGGCATGTAAACTCGAAAGGCCTCGAAATGCAGAGACACTGAAATCCGTTGGTGTGGCTCCAAAGGGAATCTGAAAATATTCTATGAATTGAATAAGATCCCTTGCTTTCAAATAAAAATGCATTTTAACTTTCTAATTTTTCTTCACTAATGTACATATGATAATAATAATATCTTGGAGCAAATAAAGCTGCTTTCTCTTTTAAATTGTTCATGTTATTAAACTCTTAACGGACCCATGTCTCTGTTTTCGATAGTCTAGACTCTTTCCACGTTGAAGATATTTACGACGCTGTTGCTGTTTGTTACGCACATTTCACAGATCCTCGTTTTGCTGAAACTCCTTGTAATTTCCTTCGATTTTCTCATATTAATTTGTGATTCAACATCTATAGTTGCGTCAAATATTTCGCGTCTTTGGATCGAATTGTGCGTGGAATTTTGTGTAAGGACGGTGTAATACAAAGTGACACGAGAATAGGTTACTTAGCGTAAATTTTTATGTTCTTGGCCAGTGAAATAGGTGTACAGCCATTATTTTCGTATTACTGAACCATTCAACATTTCAAAGATCATAATGCTTGTTATGCTTTGGTTATAGAGTAAATACGGTTCTCTCCCAGTCGGTACAATTTACGAACTCCGGTCTGCATTAACCGGGTCTTACAAAAGCTAGTTTAATGAGAAAGTTAAAAAGAAAACTACAATTAAACTTCAAACTTAAGTTTTACACATTGAACTTTAAAACTATTCTGAAACAAAGACTCTAATTACTCCTATTTTCTATTTTTACTTTGACCCCCAAACTTTCTACAAAAGGTTAAGAAGCTACTTCTAAAAGAGTTGGCTTTCATAACCTCTAAACTAAACCAAACTTCGGTTTAGAGACTTAAACCCGCTTCAACCGGTCTTTACACGAGCTGGGATACACAATTACAGAATCCACACATAGCCCTCCTTTGGTATGTGTACAATCGATCTGAGTCATGGAGAACTTAAGCTTCGTCGACGAGCTTTTCCCTTTCCCGACCACAAAGTCTCCAGCATGGTAATGATTCCAGCTTCCTGATCCGGTTAACTTGCATTGAGACGAAGAGTGTTGACCATCTTCGGTCCAGATTTGAAACCGAACCGGTTTAATATTCCAACCATGAATCTGTTCAGTGTTGCAAACCTTCCAACCAAACCGCTTTCCCGGTTTACCTAACTGAAGCCTGAAAAAGACGCTGTAGGTTCCAGCTGGCAACGGGAAATCGATTTCTCCATCAACTTGAAACCACCAGATTTGTTGAAGGTATGCTACCGAACCGAATCTGCAAGAATCAACATAATTTCGAACATAAACTACCGAAACAAAAACTTTCTATTTTTAAGCCCTTTATCAAAAAAAAAAAAAAAAAATTTTGGTCAAATAAAAAAAATAAACTAATGTTTTTTTTTTGAACAAAACTATGTCGGCAAGGGACAAACTGTACCCAACATGCAATAAGAGAGAGAGAGAGAGAGAGAGAGAGAGAGAGAGAGAGAGAGAGAGAGAGAGAGAG